GTGCTATGACCAGAATGAGTGAGCTGGCATCAAAAAAGAACATGCCAGTCAAGTGTTATTTAAGACCATGAAATGTCTGTGTGTCAACATGGACTCAAAAGTGTGTATTTTTTAATGTCACAAGTCCTTTGGCCATCAGGGGCCCCCTTCAACCTGAAACCTGCAGAGAAAGAGAGAACATCACTGCAACCACACTCAAGCCTCTGCTTTTGCCAGCGTGGAGGAGAGGCTGGAAGCAGGGTAAGGAACACAGTGTCCTCTTTCACACAGCCCGTTAGCACCGGGGAAAGTTATGATGGAGCAAGCAGCTTGGATAAATACAGGCTGGCCTGGGGGTGAGGCCAGTTCTCTCCTGTTTGGGTCATAAAAGACATCAAAGAATTGTCCTTCGAATGATCTGTGTGTCATTGCCTGCTCTTCTGACAGGAGAGTCCCAGTACCTCAAATATGCCAAAGTTAACCCAGTGCCAAAGAAACCATCAGTCAATATTACAAGTTGTTGTCCACTACCAAAGCTATGAGCAGGCTAAATAGAAACACCATTAGACTTAGAGAAGTCACAGGATAATAATTTCCTGTCACTGGAGAATTTTCAAGAATTTGGCAGATTTCCTAGCTTGAATTAGTTGAATAAATTAGACAAATAACATTTTTCAGAGGTCAGCCATAAAAAAAGCTTGGACTAAATCAAGCTGTTTCATACCAATAATTTGAGTCAGCCTAAATTACAAAAAAAAAAAAAAGAAAGAAAAAATAAAAGAAAAAAAAGAAAATCACTTAATTTAAATATTTTCTGTGGAATTATCAAAAGGGTAAAATCTGCCACAGTTTTCAAAATGAGACATTTATAATCAGTTTAGATCTCAGTGAACATGTAAATTTTTTTTTAATTATAAAATATTTTAAGAGAAAAATTCTAGTGCAGTGCAAGCCACATCTTTCCTTCCCCACTCTCACCACAAGGTAGGAAGTTTCTTAAACCTCCACAAGCAAAACAGGATCCATCCCCAAAGCACTAAACCTTGCCATTTCTTCAGAAAAAAGGCCACATCAGTAGCACAAAGGGGGAATGTTGTCCCCATGGCCATGCCCATCTCTGCGTTACTCAGAAAGGGTTGGGATTGTCTTTCTCTTCTGTATTTTACAGGTCACCTTCCTTAGCTGGGAATTGGGAGCCGCAGCACTGATGGTCTGAGTGAGGGACAGGTCTGGAAATTAGCACTACCCTGGGAGGATCAGTTGGTTCACATCTCTTGGCTCTCTGTTTCCAGGAGCTGGAGATTCAGACTACCACCTGTCCCCATTAAAATCACAGGTTTTGAGTTCTTCTTCCCCATCTTATGAGTTAAACACATATTTTTTTCCAGTAAATTAGAAGTGGGAATCTGATATAACAATATGCCAGTAAGATCTGGAGCCTTTGGCTTGCCCTTCCATTGTCTGTGCTTCAATCAGTCGGCTCACACCAAGATTATAAAAAACCTGACCCAGGAGTTTACAGTCTGAAGCCCAAATTGAACAGAGCAGTCAGCAGATTATGTATTCGACCAAACAATGAGGTCTTCAGTCCCTTTTTGAACCAGTTTTTCATTACAGGGGTTATGTTTGTATCATATTGCTGAGAATTACACAAAACCATTATTTTTGAAATGAGTACAGTAGACAACAATGTTGCCAATAATGCAAGTTGTTAGTAAAGTGTGTATATTTATAGCAGCATGACAAGTATTTCAGAGAGCTCTAAGCACGTTCAATTCCACAGCCACATGCATGCAGCATTTCAGAGAATGTAAAGCTTAACTACTCCATGTTTTCCTTTGGAAGGGAGAGCTAGAAGAGGATGTTCCCATACATTTTTTGCCTGTGATATTTTACATAAAGCCCCAACTGAAAGGGGCTTTATAAACTATGTAAGTAGAAAAGATGTCCAAAAAAAGGATAAAATTAAGGTGTTGGCATTTCTAACAAAATATCTTCCCTTCCTAGTCTATCCCGTGCTAAACAGTAAGCATAGAACTTTCTTCCTAATAAAGCTTTAGAGCTACTACCATGACTTCTCACCCCTGCTACAGAAATACTATCCAGATGACCAAGGATTTTGTAATGCAGCAAGCTGCAACAAATATCCAGCTGAAACAGCAGTTTAGTGGACTCGGAGCAAAAACAAATTATTTTTATGGCATATAAAATTATGAAGAGCCTTTCCCAATATATAGCATGACTAATAATCATCAGCCTGTTCAACAGTGACACTTTTGCCACTCCCTCTGTGGTCACTTTTCATTTGCAACCATCAAGTCTGCTAAAAACAGGATGAGAAATTGTAGTTTAAAAGCGAGATATTATCAGCTTTCCCAGACAGAAGCAGGTTGGGAGACAAGAGAAAGACAAGTCTTCCTCTCATAGTTCAAGGAGTAAATGAGCAACTAATAAACATTCTAATTTAATAAGTGCGCATATCCTGCTAACAAATTTTCTTTTGAATAACAGAACTGAATGGTTGATGTGTTTTGTTTTCAGTTTGCTTGGTTGTTTCCAAAGAGTAAATCCCACAATTAAATTATAGCAATAATGAAAAAAAATTGAGCAATGTCCACATTAAGTTTAAGCTGGGAAATCACAAGGCAGAAATGTTCTATTTCCAGCCCAGAAATAAAATCCTAACCTGCTGATTTATGTTCCCTCCGCAACATTTTTCACTCAGTTGCAGTGCAAACAGTACTGGTCTGCATTGACAATTCTCTTGAAAAGCCCATGAACCTTGAACAGCATTGCTGAAATCCTGTGTTTCTGCTACAACATGCCTGGAGCTGGGACACAGCTGATGTAACTGGCTTCAGACACGTATTCTCCATGTCAACAGAGTTCTTCTTTCCTTTGCTGACACGGGGGAGGATGCTGACATGCAGCATCCAGAAGGGCATGGCTTACTCTGGGTCCCTTGCATATCTTCATCAGCCCAATCCAATCCATCAAATCCTGTGACCTGAAGGTGAGACCTTCTCGTCCAAACTCCTTCACAGACGAGCTCATAGCGCATGTACCCATGGTACCACACCACATCCCCTTTCCTTCTGCCTGACCGCCCTCCTGCACCATGATCCATGGGACAGCTGCCTCTGCACTACGGGGTCTTGGAGAGAAAGCCAGGCCAGGGAGATGCCATATAATTCCATATAATTCCACTGGGTAGCTCACACTTTGTTTTCAACGTGTTATTTGCCACAGTACCATGACTCATCAGAGTCTCCCACCATCCACAACACTCCCACTTTGGCTCGTCACTGTCACCTAATCCCACCGAGCTGACATTTCCTCCTGGGTGTAAGAGGCTTTGCATGATCTCTTTAGTAGAAAAGGTCCTGAGAGACCAAAATGACAAAAACTAGCCAGCCCTTAGGAGGTCTGGAAGAGCAGCGCAGCACTGATCTGAATCAGCAGATATAGCACCCTCCAACTGTGGACTCTTCTGGGGCAGACTTCATCAGAATGGGAATCTTAATGTAAACAAATGACTCCTTCTGGGTTCTTCCAGCCCAGCAGGCCAGAACAGGTAAATATACACTATCTCAGCATTCCAGCAACTATTGGAAATACCCACAGAGGCTTCAATCATGCTTAATAATTAAAAGTAAGGTATTGTGTTAATCAACAGGTGGTAAAGGAATATGACCTTCCTCGGAGGCAGTCTGGCATGATAGCCAATTTTTTCCATGACACATACTAGAAAGTACCGAAACACAGTCAGCAAGATAATTTCCTTGCTTCAAGATTCAGTATTTTAACAAATGAGTCACTGATACATGCTTCAGATATTCCTATGCTAAAACTAGAGTATAAGTCATACATATGAAATCCACTCCTGCCTCATAAGCTGCCTGTGATAGCTTTTTCCAAATACTGACCTAGAGAATGTCTGGTATGTTCAGACTGATGTAAGAAATCTGGATTTTATATTCATGATCCCAGTTTATCAGCAGATGTCACACGAGTGGACTTGTCTCAGCGCTGATTTCAAGATGCAGCAACAGAAAAAACTTTGCTGGTCCTTTAGCTGAAGAAGCCAAATTTCATCAGAAGTATATGTTTCCATTGCTTTAGTAAAGGGAAAACATGGATTTGTCAGACTGCATCTGAGTATACAATAAACAGTTCCTGACTGAAAGTGTCAAATATTGAAGGGGAAATATTAACTAGTACATGCAGGGAAAAGTGTAGCAGAGAGCTGTTATAGGTGCTCTAAGATAAGGGTCTGGGATTCAGGAAAGCTGGATATAAATGCAGGTTCTGACACAGACTGTCTTTATGACCTTGGGCTACCCACCAGATATTGCTGGCCTCAAGTTATCCAGCTATGCAATGGAGATATGGTTAATTAAAGCACCCTACTCTTTTTTGGTTGGCTCTCCTGTATGGTTACGTAGAGACATGGACAAAGGCAGAGATTTCTTTGGCCATGAGGGAAGGGAGATGATGAATGTGACTTGATCCAAGACACAAGCAAAGCACGGGTTTGGCAGGCCTGGGGGCCGAAGGAGAGGCTTCATCCACACAGATGCCATGGAGTGGAGCTGGCGGGACAGGGATTGCTGTTGAGCTGTCAGGAGCATTAGCACTGTAGGGAGGACAGACCTGCCTGGGAGGAAGGTGCAGGTTTTACAAGGAAAAGCTATGACTGACAGCACTGCAGCTCACACATTGGGAAGGCACAGAGGGCAGGAAGAGAAGGGAGAGGGTGGTTTAAGAGACCTCACATCAAGGAGATAATGCCAAACAGAGAAGCCCACAGATCTTTCAGCACACAGACTGAAAATGGCAGTAGGGGACATCTAAATACACAGCCAGGTCCTCAGGCCTGGCCCACACTCAAAGGATTTGCCAGACTAGCCTTTTCCATCATGATTGCAAGAGAAACACCCATAGTCATGACAGATAAAGCCTTGTACTGGCACTGTACGTCAGCCAAGCAGCCTCTTCCTCTCTGCATCCCTTCACGCAGGGAGCAGGAATCAGACCTACCACTCAAAGCACTCTCTTGTGGATATAAGCTGTGCTTCTGCTAGGAGGATTTGCCAAAACAGATATACTGGCAAAGCAGCTAAGGTTGTCAAACTCGCCTCCTTTGACTTAAATAACAGCTACGCTCATTTGCACCAGAGAAACAGCTGGTTCTGAAACCAAAATAGCTCCTTAGTCAAGGGCATATTCCAAGGCCTGAATCATCTTTAGCGAAAGAGAGGGGCTCAGTGTCAGTGAGTTTGACAGCGGACATGGGAAATGCTAACTGACCTTTATGGAGAATGTCAGCACAGGGAATCAAGGCCTAATCCTCAAAAAGCCCTGAGGTATCACTCTCATCAGTGCCAGGAAATTTGTGCCCCTCTGAACAGGCAGGCACACTTGCCAACAGAACATGCAGGTCCAGATGCTGTGTGTGCCTTGATTATTGCATAATATTATCAAACAGGATTTTTAAAAACCTTTAAAATGCCCTGCTCAAACAAATGAAGTTGCATTTTTCCAAGGTCATCAAAAGAACCAGCTCATTTCTTTGATGTAAATAATAGCTGAGTATGTTGAATCTGCTCTCTCACAGAATCACTTCTTTTCTAAAGCGAGTAAAATGATAAGGTTTTGGACACAATGAAGTTCCCTTTTGCCAATCTGCAATGCCATCACTAGAGCAGGAATTGAGTGAGTTGAGCTGGGATACCTCAGAAAGTAACTTTAAAAAGTGCTGTGCTAACAGCTTTGCCTTGGAAGGATGAGAAGCCCTTGGCATACGTAGATCTCCAGATTTCCTATAAACCTACTTGATTCCTTGTAAAACATTTTTAATTCTCTTGGCAAAACCCCTAAGCCTCTATGGGGATGCCTTTGCATCTTGCCTTTTTGAGCTCCATCTCCCTCTTTCCATTCCTTTTCCAGGTGAGAGGAAGCCAAGAATTCCAAGTTGTCTGTGACATACTGCCTTTGTCACTGGACACCCTGCCACTGATGAGGACCAGCTCCTGCCTTTTGCTCACCACTACAAATGCCATTGCCTTGAGAATTACTGACATTGTCACTGAGGGGGCTATAGTTGTGTGAGTATAAACAAACACAGTGCTAGAAAAGACACTCGGGGATAAATAGCAAAGGTAGTGCATAGTGTGAGACCAAAATAACTTCTTGCTGTTCACTGAAAGTACCTTCCATTGGCTGTCTTGTGCTGGCTGTTTCCAGCCAAGGTCCTTGTCTTCCCCAGAAAGGCAAAAAGCATGTGTGACTTCAGAAGCCATGGGGCTCCTCTGTGTCCCTCCAAGATGGTGACACTGAGGAGCTGGGACCCACTTGCAAGTACCTTGTGAGTAGCAGTGCTCCATATCCAACATCTGCTGACATTCTCAGAGCTGTGAAGGTCCCAGCCAAGATTACCAGCACCCATATGGACTCTTCTCTCTCTCCCTCCCTTGCAGCCACAGGGTCTCTTCAGCAGTGCCCCCTCACAGGGTCCCCCAACTGGGGGCTTCAGCCATGCCCTGCACACCCAGAGGAGGTTAATGGATGGCACAAGTGAACTAAAACATACAAATGGCTGATCTGACTGAGAAGCAGAAGCATGACAAAAAGATTTGGGCTAAGCCAAGTGGCATATTTTACCTGAATGTACCTCACCAGTTTGGATGGGAAGGTCTATGGGTACTTGGGATAGTGAGGGGAAAAAAGGATGCAACAGGTCTATAATACCCATGTTGGGTCGCAGGGGGTGGCTTGAGTGAGAGCCAGGGGTCAGTTCTGCAAACTGGACCAATTAAATATCCATTTGATACTAGACTGATGAGTACTGAAAGGGCTGCACTCCTGGCATGTGACTCCATTGATATTAATTCATCAAGGATGAGTTTGGCTTGGATGATACCTCAGATGAGAACGTGAAACCACAGAGAAGTATTTTATCAATATACAATATATGGACAAGTTTCTGACCTTCAGTGTAACTGACAAAGACTCACATCTAGAACTCACTGAAAAGATAAACCAATGTTTTGGCATTAATAATGGTGTTTGTAAATGTCCTCTTAACACTTGAATTATGTTCTTTTGCTCTATGAGGTTGCTATTCCACTGATTCCTTCTTTCTTTGTTCTGTTTTAAATTAGATTATGGAGAAATCCAGAACTCAGAGCCAATTCATCTGTTTTGCTCTCCCGGGAACAGTGATGTTTATTTTGAAAGGAATCTTTCAGTGATGTTTTCCAATTAAAAAAAAAAAAACAAAACCAACCCTGAAACAATTCTTATCCTGCAGGGCTTATTGTATTACATGTAAGACCACTTAAGCAGTAAATTAATCTTGATATTAAAGCTAGAATCCTGGATTTTTACATGACTTCCCTGCTTTGCTACAACCCTCTGCTCAGTGCTGTACATGAGTTTTGCCTTCTTTGAACAGAATGTCCCCTCTTGTGTGGTATTGTAGTCACAACACTCAGGTGTTTCTGACTGTGGGAAGGAAGTATAAAACTAAAAAAATAATATAGTTCTATGATTTTATGCTAATTCTACTCATGCCAAGGGGCATTAACACAGCAATTGAGGCATGACTGGAAATGAACACTTAGAATTGCACAGAAACTCCATTATTTTTATACAGACATACTCTCAGCAAGGTTTCTCACCTTTCCAGAGTCATACAATTTTTGAAAGGTTATACATGGGACTCACATTTGGACCATCATCAGACAATAGTTCAGACTCCACATCAAGCAGAAGGGCTACTGTTCAAAGAGATTATATAAATTGTCTCTTTCATTGCTAATAGGTACGTGCAACTTTGTCCTGTTCAAAGTTACATCCTTACTGCAAAGTTAAGCTTGGTTCTTGTAGGGTTTTACTCCCCAGGATTTCATCATCCACAGAGAAGCTTCAGAAATTTTCTGGGTTTTGCTCCAGGGCATTCGTGGCTCCATGTCAGCAGGGGATGGAGTGTCTTGCTTTTCCAGATACACAGTCTGCGGCTACAGGCCTGGAAAAATCTGCTTGTGCTTCCAACCAGAAGTCTCCAGAGGATTAAGGAGCCTCCAACAAAACTGTTCTGAAATAGTGCTGAAATAAAAAATGTTCACATGTCCAAAACAGTGATTAAACCTAAATTAAACCTGAAGTGGTTACAGTAGCCTTTCTCTGTGTATGAACCTGCTGAACCAGCAGCTGTGCAACATCTGAAGCAGCAGCCGCTCAGGGACAAAGTAAAAGCATAACAAGAAAACCCAGGTCTGCTTGGGGTATGTTTCAGAGATCTTGTCTGCCAGTAACTCCTAAGTGGCAAGAACTTCACTGCACTCTACTGCTAGCGTAAGCTCTGCCAGCAGCATGAAACAAGAACAGATATGCTGTGAGCTGCCACAGTTGATCATGTTGATGTTAACTCAGTCTTCAGGAAGGTCTCAGCTCACACAGAACTCTTGTTAGAGAGATCTGTTGGAGTCATATCTGTGAGTGACCTGTTGGGGCTCATGAAGTCCTTGGAGAGTGTGACACCAACACACTGAGTGAGCACTAGGAGGTTCAGCACAGGAAGTCCCGGAGCACCTACAGCACACCTAAAGGGTGACTGGTTCACGTGTAACAGCAGAAAACACTGTTTAAACCCTGCTAATCCTCACAAGCACAGTTTAGCGACTTTTCTAGCAGCTCCAGTCCCTGGACTACCACTGCTACCCTCTCCTTTAGGTTCCCATGTGTCATGGGTGATTTGGGGTCTGTGTGGCATTTACGACATGCTACATTCAACGTTGCACAATTTAAGGCACATTTCCAGAGGATCTTAAGTTTACATTCAGTTGTTTATTGGGAATCATAGAAAAAAATAAGTTGGAAAGGAGTTCTGCAGGAATTTCACGCCAATCTTCTGCTTAATGAAACAAAGTTTCTCAAGGTCTCATCTAGCTGGCTTTTGAAAGCCTCCAAGAATAGAAACTGCAGACAGTTTCTGGGCAACTTGTTCTAGTGGCTGACAACCCTCCCTATTGAGAGTTTTCTTCCTTTTGCCTAGCCGGGCTTCATCCCATCTAGTCCTATGGATTTGTATATTTCCAGTTTACTTAAGTGATCCCAGCATCCCCCTCTTCAGCTGTGGGTAGTTGTGGTAGTTTGGCCTAGGCCTTCCTTGGTGACCAGTTTGTAACCAAGGAAGTGCCCAGATTTACCCGGTATTCCCTACAATTTTTACGTAAGCCGGAGTATAAGAAGAAAGGAGGAGATGCCTTCGCTCTCTTTCCTTCTGGCGGCTTTGGAGGTGCGGGTTCCCTGCTGTTGAGTCTGTCGGCTTGGAGAGTGAGGCCTAGTAAGGCCTTGTCGACCTTGGGAGGCGGAGGCTGCCGGCAGTCACCCCTGCGTGACTCTCCGTTGTCCCAAGGAGAGTAGTAAGATATTCTTTGCTAATTCTTTTAGTTGATAGACCTTGGGCTATTGATCGGGATATATGTATATATATATATTATTTTGGTTTTTGGTCTTCCCTTCCCCTTTCCCTTTTCCCTGTGAAATTGTATATATATTTCAACTGTACATAACTGTAATATAAGTGTAAATATATTTATATATATTGCTTTGTCTCTCTCTCGTTTTCGGTTCTTTTGGTTTTTTTTTCCCCTCTTCTCCCTTGGTTTGGGGTGGGGGGGACTTCTTGTGGTAAGGTTTGGAGACTTGGCAGGGAGCCAGCTCCAAACCATATCAGTAGTACCTCCCTTTTCCAAACTCTGCCATTAGACAAGGATGTCTGAGAGCAAACTCTGCCAGTAAAGGCTGAGGCAAATTAAATGCTGAGAACCTCAGACTTCTGTGTGTCCTTCATCTGGGAAAGCACAGCAGTGTGAGCCATGTCCCAAAGGGAGCCTTCGAGCACGTGCTCCTTTTGTTGCCTATTGACAGGTTTGAGTGCAGATTTATTTAAAATGGAAGATTAGTTCCTCTAAGATTATATATGTTAGTATTGAACAGTCGCTTGTTTATTTAAAGATTATATAAGATTATATAAGATTATATAAGTGAGTGTTTCATGTTTTCATTGAAAAAGTTCCAGAATTGGTAACGCCTTGTGTTGTTGTTGTTGTTACTTATATTTGAAGCTGCCTTTTTCTGGTCCTTCCTTTTCTGGAATACTTAAGCTCCCACTTACTGACATTCCCCCTCACCCCAGCCCCCTTTTGCCTCCAGAAGGCTTTGAACAGAAAGGGCACTGGAAGTTCAGCTCTGCACATGCTGAACTGGAAGAAACGCATCCCGCATGTCACTCTTGGCACAGGGGAAGCAAGGACAAAGCTTTGGAGCGGTCTGGGTCCCAAGGGATGCACTCCCGGCATAGGGCCCCGGTTGTGAGAGGCCCGATCCCCAGCGGAGCACTCCCAAGTGGGGTCCAGGGGGCTCTCCCGAGCCAGTGAAAGCCCGGGCGAGCACAGACGCGGGCCCAGGCACACCCTGAACAAGTCGCTGCCGGCGCACAGGGACACCAGGGACCACTGACACCCTCATCAGATGGGAGCTTGCTGTGCTCTATTGGCAGAGCCAGGCCCGTGTCAGGGATCCAGCCTGGCGGTGGGAGCGGCTCCTGCGGGAGCACCCGCGGGACCCCCTTTGTGATGCGTCGGGGGCCGCCACTGTGACCTCGTTGGAGACGGTGGCTCAGACAGCTCTGACGTCACAAAGGGGACCCGCCCGGATCCAGTATAAAAGCAGCCCACGCCAGCCAGGGGAGGCACAGGTAAGAAGAAGAGAGAAGAGAGAAGAAAGAAGACGGAAGACCTCCTGGGGGGGGCCCCACACGGGCCGGAAGCCCCTGTGCACGCTGCGCAGGACCCTGCGGCGGTCAGAGGCTCCGGCGCAGGCAGCTCGGGCACCCGCGTGGGCGGGAGGACCCGGCGCCGGCCGGAAGCCCCTGCGCAGGCTGCGCAGGACCCCGCGGCGGTCAGAGGCTCCGGCGCAGGCAGCTCGGGAACCCGCGTGGGCGGGAGGACCCGGCGCCGGCCGGAAGCCCCTGCGCACGCTGCGCAGGACCCCGCGGCGGTCAGAGGCTCCGGCGCAGGCAGCTCGGGCACCCGCGTGGGCGGGAGGACCCGGCGCCGGCCGGAAGCCCCTGCGCAGGCTGCGCAGGACCCCGCGGCGGTCAGAGGCTTCGGCGCAGGCAGCTCGGGCACCCGCGTGGGCGGGAGGACCCGGCGCCGGCCGGAAGCCCCTGCGCACGCTGCGCAGGACCCCGCGGCGGTCAGAGGCTCCGGCGCAGGCAGCTCGGGCCCCCGCGTGGGCGGGAGGTCCCGGCGCCGGCCGGAAGCCCCTGCGCACGCTGCACAGGACTCCGCGGCGGTCAGAGGCTCCGGCGCAGGCAGCGCGGGCACCCGCGTGGGCGGGAGGACCCAGCGCCGGCCGGAAGCCCCTGCGCACGCTGCGCAGGACCCCGCGGCGGTCAGAGGCTCCGGCGCTGGTTGTGTGGGCACCCGCGCCGGCCCCAGGAGGCAGAAGAAAGAAGAAAGAAGAAAGAAGAAAGAAGAAAGAAGAAAGAAGAAAGAAGAAAGAAGAAAGAAGAAAGAAGAGAGAAGACAGAAGAAAGAAGCAAGAAGAGAGAAGCAAGAAGAGAGAAGAAAGAAGAGAGAAGTGACAAGTGAGAAGACAGAAGAGAGAAGTGAGAAGAGAGAAGAGAGAAGAAAGAAGGAAAAGAAACAAGAAAGAAGAAAGAAGAAAGAAGAGAGAGGAGAGAAGAAAGAAGAGAGAAGAAAGAAGAAAGAAGGAAAAGAAACAAGAAAGAAGGAAAAGAAACAAGAAAGAAGAGAGAAGAGAGAAGAGAGAAGAGAGAAGCGAGAAGAGAGAAGAGAGAAGAGAGAAGAGAGAAGAGAGAAGAGAGAAGAGACAAGAGAGAAGAGAGAAGTGAGAAGTGAGAAGTGAGAAGTGAGAAGTGAGAAGAGAGAAGAGAGAAGAGAGAAGAGAGAAGAAAGAAGGAAAAGAAACAAGAAAGAAGAGAGAAGAGAGCAGTGAGAAGTGAGAAGTGAGAAGAGAGAAGAGAGAAGTGAGAAGAGAGAAGAAAGAAGGAAAAGAAAGAAGAAAGAAGAAAGAAGAGAGAAGAGAGAAGAAAGAAGAGAGAGGAGAGAAGAAAGAAGAGAGAGGAGAGAAGAAAGAATAAAGAAGAAAGAAGAGAGAAGAAATAAGAAATAAGAAAGAAGAGAGAAGAGAGAAGAGAGAAGAGAGAAGAGAGAAGAGAGAGAAGAAGGGAGGAAGGAAGGAAGGAAGAAAGAAGGAAGAAGGGAGTGTCATGGTTTTGAACAGCCTCAAAATCCAGTTCCTGATTCCTAGCCCCCCTCCCACAGAAGCCTTCGTGACGGTCTGGTATCTTCAGGGGAAAACAAGCCCCTTTATAGAGCTTCTGTGCTCTGCCTCAAGATGGCTGCCAGCTTCTC